ACCTGCTGGGTGTCCCAGGGATGCGGGGTCCCCGTCCCGGTCCCCCCGCCCGGAGCCTCGCCCTGCCCCCGACACCTTGCTGTGGCTGCTTGGATACGTGTGTGGCCCAGATCTCCTGGGCACGTCCTCTTTGCCCGGCATCTCCCACGCACTGCGATCTTTATTTATTTAATCCTCCCCCGAGGACATTTCTCCATTGCTTTTTAGAGAGAGTGGATGAGCGAGGGAAAGACAGAGAAATAGCAACGTGAGAGAAACACATCGATTGGTTGCCTCCTGCAGGAGCCCCCACCAGGGCCCGGGCTGGGGAGGAGCCTGCAACCGAGAAGCCTGCCACCGAGGTCCGTGCCCTTGACCGGAATCGAACTCGGGGCCCTTTGGTCCGCAGGCCGATGCTCTATCCGCTGAGCAACACCAGCGAGGGCCAACAAGATGCAATCTTCGCCCTTACCTTCCCGCGTGCGGTACCTGTGTCTTGTTGGAGACATTCTTCCCGCCCCTCATAAAAACACTCGCACTTTTTGTTGTTGGAGGTACACATTGTTTCTGCCTTCCACACTTTTGTTTTCTGTTTTGTGTTTTTTAAAAATATATATTTTTATTAATTTCAGAGAGGAAGGGAGAGGGAGAGCGAGGAACATCACTGATGAGAATCATGGATCGGCTGCCTCCTGCACGCCCCACACTGGGGATCGAGCCTGCAGCCCACACATGTGCCCTGACCGGGAATCGAACCCTGACCTCCTGGTTCATAAGTCGACGCTCAACCGACCCCTGAGCCCCGCCGGCCGGGCTGTACTTTGTTTTTCACCTGAGAGCGCTGGGGCTTTGAGGACATCGCGAGGCAGGGATGCCATGTCACAGGGCCCCGGAGCGCCCCCACGGGTGACGAAGGGGCCACACCCAGCGCGAGGCTGCCTGTGGTCTCCCAGGCCATGCCTGTCCCTGGAGCCACGCGCTAGTTCTGGAATAAACCCGCACCAGCCAGGGCCACCCTGCTCACTGCCCTCTCCCTTCCGGGCGCGCTGGCCCTCCCATTCTGCCACCTCCCCTGAGGCCCCTTTGCAGTTTTGCACAAACCCTGTGGGGTTTCCTGGGAATGGCGGAAGCCCCGGGTCAGCTTGAAGAAAGCCGACATCTCGCCCCGGCTGGTTTGGCTCAATGGGAAGAGCGTCGGCCTGCGGACCGAAGGGTCCCGGGTTCGACTCCAGTCACAGGCTCGACTCTGGTCAAGGGCACATACCTCGGTTGCAGGCTTGCTCCCCGGCCCTCGTCGGGGCGCATGCGGGAGACAGCCCATCGATGTGTCTCTTCTCACATCTATGCTTGTTCTCTGTCTCTACCCTTCTTCTCCCACTCTCTCCAAAATCCACGGGAAAATATCCTCGGATGAGGATTACCAAAAGCCCCATTCTCTCTCTGCCTCGGTGAGTTCCTGCCCACGGGCACGGTCAGTGTGGGGCTAGGCCATTGCGGAAGGGGGCACGCGTTCCTGGTGCGATGGCAAACTGCCCGAGCGGTAAAGCATTTGACTCCCTGGGCAGGTCTGGGGGGCGGATGGACTGCGCTCACCCTCCCAGCGAACTTGGCCGCTTGTCCCCCTGCAGGCGCCAGCCTCTGGCGTTTCCTATGCAAACAGCGTCCATTTGTTTCTCTAAGGATCCTCCCCTCCGAGTCTGTTCCTTCTTCCCCTGTCTGCTGTGTTCGGCCACCTGACCTCCAATGTGACCTTGACTGGAAGTGGTGGAAGCACTGGCCTTGTCCTTGACCTTCCACTGACCTCGTCTCAGGCCCCTGGTAACAGGGCGGGAAACCCTTAGGCTGAGGCGCTGTCCTCAAGCTGAGAGTATTCCTCATACAGGCGGGAGACGTGGGGCTTTCCCCGACTCCTGAGCTGGGGGGGGCGGGGTGTGTCTGCCCAGGTGTTGGCTGGAGCTGGGGCGAGGGGGAAAGGGCCCCCAGCCCTCGGGCCTCCTCCCAGCCTGCTGGTCCTGCACAGCGAGGCCTGGCAGAGGTGAGGTGCGGCCCCTCTTCCTGGGCCCCTGTCCTGGGTGGGCCCGAGTGTGTCCTGGGAAGCAGACGGGGTGGTGGGGACTAGGTCAGGGCCGGCCAACCTCACACTCGCTGCGGACCCACCCGTGCTGGGAACAGGCGTGGCTGCTCCCGCTGGACCGAGGCCGCATACGCGGGGGCCACCACCCCCCTGGGCCTCCCTGCCAGCCCGGGGGGGCCAGATCCGGGGGGGATGCCATAGGACCGCCCTGGGGCAGGTGGGGTGCCCGTACGTAGAGTAATGTCCTGTCCGGGTGAGGCAACGGCCACCTCTGCCTCCCTCGCCCGGGGCAGGGCCTGCTCCTGCGCCTGAGACATGCGTCTCCCTCCCTCCCTTTCTCTGGAAACCCAGCCCTGCCCTCCTCAGCCTCACGCCCCCACTCAGGTCCCCAGGGGCTTCCCTCGCCCTGCCGGCGAGCCCGTCCGTCTTCCGGGAGGGACGCCCCTGTTTCCCGGAGGCACCCCGGGTCCTGCGTTCCTTCTCCCCAGGATGCTGCAGCCCGGGCCCCGAGCCAGGGGTTGTGAAATCCTGGTTTGGGTGCTGGCTGGGCCGTGAGGGCCGGGTGAGCGCAGCAGCGGGCAGACAGGGCCAGCGCTCTGACCACTGAGCCACCAGCCAGGGCTGAAGAGCCGTGTCAGAGCTCTCCCTTCCACCTGGGTGGTGTAGCCACCCTGGGGGGTGCCAGGTGGGCATCTTCAGCCTGCAGGACCATCACCCCCTTTCACAGATGAGGAAACCGAGGTGCACGGAGGGCAGGCCACGGGCACAGGAAGGGTGCCCCCTGCAGGGGCTCCAGGTCGCCCCGTCAGAGAGCCCCAGCCTGGCCTTGCACAGACCCCACCCTGCGGTAGGCAGGTTTCACCCCCTGCCAGCCCGTGGCCGACAGCCCCCCGCCCAGGCAGGAAAGCAGCCGCCGGCTCCCAGCTCCCCCCAACGCAGCTGAGCCCGAGGGGTACCCAGTGTGCCCGGCACACTCTCGGGGTCACCTAGACACCTCTGTTCACACGGGAGGCGCTCTGTGGGCTGCTGGGACCCCTCTGCTGACGGGGAGCTCACTCCTTCCGGAGGTTCTCCCACCTCCATCTCTGAGAAGCCTGCCCGGGAGAGAGCTCAGCTTCCCCAGGCACCCCCTCCTGTCACTCGCATCGTCGTTGGGGGTGACCGGGCTGAGGGTCTCAATGGCCACAATGATCATAGGTGCTGTGCACCCCTTGGGAGAGTCACAGTCCCCTCTTCTGCGCTACGGGTTTCCTTATCCCAAACCCAAAGGCCCCACCTGGGCCTGCCTCAGCCTCCTGCTCCCTGGGGGGAAGGCCAGAGCCCGAGGGGGCAGACGGTCACGCTGAAGTGCGCCTTCCAGCCCCTGGCAGGTCAGGGGGGGGGGCTGTGGGCAGGGCGGGGCGCTTCCCCTCCTTGTGGGGGAAGGGGGGTGGGAGCCTCCCAGGGACCCCAGCAATGAGTGTGCTTTCATCCCAGCCCCCGGGGCTCTGCCCCGCGGGCCCAGTCCTGCCGCCGGCCTGCGGGCATTAATGGGGTTTGTGCACAGCAGGTGTGCAGGGAGCCCGTGTGGGAAGGAGGCTGAACAGACCCCGCTGAGCCACGGCGCCTCCTTCTACAGCCAGGCCAGTGGGGCTCCGGGCTGTGTGCCCACCGGTGCAGCGGGCTGAAGGCCTACCCTGAGCCAGGCACATGCCCATCTCAGGCCCGCTCTGCTGAAGGAAGGGCCTCGGGGGCTGCTGCCCGTGGCCCTGGGCTCGGAAGGGGCGAAGCGGGACCAGGCTGTGGGCCCGGGGCCGTGCCTGGCCCCTCCCGGCCTGCTCCTCGCCTCGGCCAGAGCAGAGGCCGGCAGCCCCGTTCCGCACACCCACTCGGCGCCCGGCACACGGTCTCTTCATCCTCAGAATCTGGAGGAGTGGTTGTCTCTGGTTGCAGATGAAGAAGAGACTGAGGGTCTAAGTGGGGAAGAGCTTGGCCAGTGACTGGCGCTTTGGTTCGGTGTCTGGAGCCCGTGGTGCTGGCGCTCGTCCTAGAGTAACTGCTTCGTTAATAGGAAACAGGTCGCAGGCCGCCCGGAGCCCAGCTGGGCCGGCTGCTCAAACCCTCGCTTCACCCTGGTACAGGGTTTATCCGCTCGTGTCGTAACCAACTGGGACTCAGAGAAATAAGCTCTTCCCACAAACCCCACAGCCTGGAGGTGGGGCTTGAGTCTGAGCCCAGGGGGAGCACGGCCGAGCCTCCCTCTGCACCTCCAGGTCTGCTGCCGAGAGCCAGGGGTCCCTGTCGGCCGGCGCCCCCGTGGCAGGGGGACGAAAGTCTGTGGAAGGATGGGGGGTGGGGGAACCGGCTTCCGAGGCCCCGTGGTCCGAGGCAGGCTGTTTGCGGATGGCCTGGGTCCCACGCGAGTGCTCCCAGTGGCTGCAGGCCCGGCCTGGCATTGCCTGGTGCTGCCTGGCGGCCGGACTCAGAGACCCGTGCAATTGTGACGGGCGCTGCCCAGGGCTTCCTGGTTTCAATTACTGTGCGGCCTCCTCCCCGCTTTCAAACCAGCCCCGAGAAGGCAGATCGAGGTCAAGCCTAGAAGGTTTGTCAACAGCTCTGCTGGGCCCCATGCCCTCACCCTGGCCTGGGTTCTGGAAAGCTCTCTGCTGCCCCCTGGTGGGAGAGGCCTGGGGGCAGGTCCTGGGCTCCAGGAGCCGAGGAAGGAAGCCTGGTGGCTCTTCCCTCCTGCCCTGGGGCCTCCCGCTCTGCCACCGTCGTGGGCGCAGAGCCATGCCCAGACTCAGGCTCTGCCCCTGGCGAGTCCCTCCCCAGGCCTCGGGTTCCCCTTTTCTTCAATGAGGGGTCTGGGAGAGGGGTCCAGGGGTATGGGCTTCCTCGGGCGAATGGCGAGAGACAGAGGCGGTGGCTGCACGGCATCGTGAACGACAAAAACCCACTGACAGGCCACTTGAAATCGTTACATTTATATTATGTGAATTTCTCCTCGTTAACAAAATAAGTTCAAGAAAGAAGAGGGGCCGGAATAGAGCCGTGCGGTGAGAAGCCCCTGGCACCCCTCTCTGAGCCTCGGTTCCCTGCCTGTGAGTCGGGGAGAGGATTGCAAGGGGATGCCTGGGTTCCTGCCCTGGCGGCCTGTGGGGGGAGCAGCTGGGCAGGGCAGGGGTGGGCGGCCCAGCAGCGGACCCCACATGGCCCTCCCTCCGTATCTGCTGTGTGGCAGCGGGCAAAGCTCCTAGCCTCTCTGGTCCTCTATTTCTTCAGCTGTCGAAGGGGAGCACCGCAGTCCGACCTCACGGGAGGCTTAAGATTCACGGCGGAGCACCATGCGGACACACAGTGGGGGCTCTGGGAGGGGAGCCGGGGAGGAACTTGCCCAAGGCCACGCCGCCGGTGGCTGGCAGGGGATCCGCCTGGGTCTGCCGGGCTCACAGACGACCCACTTAGGCCCGAGGATGGGGTGCAGCCGCAGGTGGTGGCCCCCAGGATGGGCCAGGCCCTGGGCCCTCCCCAGGAGGCCGCAGGGAGGGGCCTGCAGACTTGAGGAGGTGCCTGCAGAACATTTATTGCCGCTTGGCCGCCTCCTTTGTTCCCCGGAAAACGCGCCGCCAGGACGCACTCCGCCAGCACGGGCCTCGGGGCGGGTCAGGGCGGGTGGCCGGAGGCCAGCCAGGGTGCGCGCCCCCAGCACCGCTGCGGGGCCAGGCTGACCCTGCGGAGGTTGAGCTCGGAGGCGAAGGTGCGGGCCTTCTGGTAGAAGAAGAGGGACTTCTCGCGGTCCAGCAGGAAGTTGTGGTAGATGGTGGCCAGGCGCGTGTAGATCTTCATCTGGGCCTTTTTGTTGCCCAAGTCCACGGCCGCCGCCAGCGCCAGCTGGTAGTACCCGGCCGCGTCGAAGGGGTCCTGGCCGGGAGATGGGACATTTGCAGGGACATGAGGGCTCAAGGGTCCTCAGAGACCAGGGGGAGCTCTGCACAGACTGGCAGGCTTCCCGGAAGAGGGGCCAGGATTTGGGTTGCATCTTGCATCATGGGGTAGCAGTGAGCCCCTCCTTTGCTCCCCAAAGACCCTTTTTCCCTCCCACATTTCTGTGGCTACCCCAAGCTCCTGCTTGACTCTCTAGACTCAGCCTCGCAGTCACCTCCTCCCGGAGGCCCCCTTGACTGTACTCCATCTGGTCCTTTATGCAAAGCAAAGGCCGCTGTCATCTGTTCACACGTCAGCCTCCACTGACCCCGAGCTCTGAAGGGCGTGGCTGACCTCATGGCTGAGGCGTCTGCTGAGCCCCACCTGCTCCTCACGGCCGGGCCGGGAGCTTCCAGGGCCTGGACTCCCTGGGACGGAGCACCTGGCCCAGGCCTCGGGGGTCTGAGTGGCCACCCACCCGGGCGGGCCATGGCCCCCACCCCGAGCCCCGCAGCCCCGCCCGGCGCCCACCTTCAGGTCATAGAAGGTGATGTCGCCCAGCACCAGGTACACCTTCACGTAGTACAGCGTCTCCTCGTCGAACTCGAGCGGCGAGCTGCAGAGCGAGAGCGCCTTGAGGTAGAAGTGCTCGGCCAGCTCGCCGTGGCCCAGCCGCTGGTGCAGGGCGGCCAGCCGGTGGTAGGCCACGCGCTCATTCAGACGGTCTCCTGGGGGACACACCGGGAGGGCCGTGCATGAGGACAGGCGGCGTGGGGAGGTGGTGGCGGCCCAGGTCGGTCAGAGCCGCCTCAGAGCTTCCACCCGTCACCTCCCATCCGGAGACTCACTCTTCCCATCTGTGAAGTGGGCCCAATGGCGCCTGTTCCCAGCCCCCCTTGGGGATGTGGCCAAGCGGGGGGTTTGGAGGCCCCCGTCCGAGCCTGACGTAGCCGCCTGGGGTGCCTTGGTTGCTATTTTGACTAGGAGACCCCAAAGGTCAGGCAGGCTGCACTCGCAGACCCTGGACTCCGGGCAACCTCAGACATGACCTCTGACCCTCCTGGGTATCAGCAGTGGCCCCGCCCCATCCCAAGGGTGTCATCAGACCAGGCTGTGCCCGGGTCCCTCCCCCAGGGGGGCGCTGTGGGGCCAGCACGGGAACCCCGTTTCACACCCACTGTGCACCTGGCCCTCTCGGGGCTTCCATCTTGGGGGAGACCAAGGCCTGGGACAGCTCAGTTAGGTGACCGGACACAGGGATGCCCGGCACCGAGGGACCAGAGCCTGGAAAGGGCCTGAGGTTCCAGGAGCCGAGGGCAGCGGGGCTAGCCGAGTGCAGGGAAGGGGCCGCATGCGGCGGGTACTGCCAGGGACCGGTGAGAAGCTGGAGCATCCGGGATAGCTGGCCTCACGGGTGGCGAGGGACCGAGGCAGGAGGCCCGGGCCAGGGGTGCGGGGCTCACCCAGGGTGATGCTGAGAGCCAGGGCCATGTGGGCGAACTCCAGGCCCTCCTGCTGCAGGCCCAGCTCCGCCAGCAGTGCCACCAGCTTGTTGCACAGCCGAAGCTCCGCCTCCTGCTTCCCTGTGGTCACGGCCAGGGGCAGCGCCCGGTCCTGCCAAGCAGGTAAGTGGGTCAGGCCTCCTCCCGCCTCCGCCTGCCCACCCCCAGGACCCTTCTCAGTGCCCCCGAACCCGCCCTGGGAGCTGCCTGCCCACTGCCCCCGGGTCCTTACGCAGCTCTGTCCCCCGAGAGAAAGGCCAGCTCCCAGAGGCCCTGACACCCCAGGCCACTGGCCGTGAGCAGCTGGGGTGTGGCCTGCAGCCCATCTGTCTACACGGCATAACCTCAGCCCGACCCTCCCCTCCTGGGCCCCGAGGGCCTGACCAGGAGCGCCCAACACCCCTTGGGGCTCTGCAAATGCCACGTCCATCTGAACCCGCGGCTGGGCCGCACACCAGGAGCTGGGCCGACGGGAGGGGAGAAGCCGCCCTCCCTGGGGGCCCGTGCAGCCTGGGCCCGGGGCCTGATCCTCCCACTGATATGCCATGTCCTGTGGCACACCCCTGTGCTCCCCTCTGAGCCTCAGGTTCCTCATCTGTAAAATGGGCACAGGTGCACTCTGGGTTGTTGGAGATGACAGGGATGCGTGCTGCGAGCTGGGAGCTGCCTGTGACCCTCGGACAGTGCGTCCCTTCTCTGTCCCTCTAGGTTGGGGTGGGGGTGGGGTGGGTCATGACAACTCTAGACCATGCAGAGGGTGATCCCGCCTCCTGGGAGGCCGCTCCCGCTGTGCCTGCGCCTCCGCCCGCCCAGGGACGCCCACTGAGGCCCCCGCCCTGCCCGGCCTCACCCTGTAGAAGGACACAGCTTTCTCCCGCTCCCAGGCCCCGTTGAAGAAGATGTCTCCGGCCGCCTCGAACAGCTCCAGCCCCAGGTTGGGGTCCCCCGTGTACAGGGCCGCGTTCTGGGCCACCTGCGGGGATGCGGGCCTGTGACCCACAGCGCTCCAGCGGGGCAGGTGGCCGTCCCACCAGCGGGGACCTCACAGCACGTCCCGGCCACCCTGGGGCCCTCGAGCTGCCCAACGAGTGCATTAGGCCTCGTCCCTCTCACACCCCAGGAGGGACGGGTCCTGTGCATTTGGGGTCCTTGTCTCCCACTGGGGGAGGATGATCGTTCCAGCCGTGTCCCCGGGGGAGGCTGGTCAGTGAAGGCTCGGAGCCGGCAGGACTGCTGAGGAGCTGGGCACAGGCAGAGCGGCCCTGAGTCCACGCCACGCCTGGCCCACGCGTCCTCCGCTCTGGCCTCACGGGGCTCGCACACCTGCCCCTTCACCCCACTACTTTCCCTCTGTCCCCTTCGCACCCCTGATGGCACACGTCTGCCCACCTCCCCCACCAGAGGACTAAGGCTGTCGGCTTCTCTGCTGGGTCTGGGGCCTGGCACAGTACCTGGCGCACAGTAGGTGCTCAACAAATACCGCTGAGTGGATGATGGACTAGCCCCTGCCTGCAGCCCGGCCGCACCCAATTGCTCGCAGCCCCGAAATCTGTGCACCTCTGGGCCTTGGCGCCTGCGTCCTGCTGCCCGGACGCCCCTCCCGGTGGGCACGGCCCCCTCGCTGCCGCTCACACAGCCTCAGTGACCCAGGCGGGCAGGAGCCTGCCCTCCCGCTCCTCTGCACCCCCACCCTGCCACAGCCCCTCAGCCGTAGCCCCTCACCCGGGGGCCTCGGACCCTGGCCAGGGAGGTGCGGCAGGTGCTCAGAAAGGAACAGCCTCGCAAGGACCAGGAGCCTCCCGGTTCGCCCCCATCGCGTCCTGTTTAAAGCACACGTGCCCTGTGCTGCTGGGCAAGGTCTCCGTGTGCCACGGCGTGGGCACAGTGTGCACGTGACTCAGCACGAGCTGTGCGCCAGCCTGGTGGGGGCTCTGCCCCCGGGAGCTGAGATGCTGGGAGATGCTGGCAGTGGGGGTCAGGGGCGTGGGGAGACGGCACGGGCACCTGGCACTCAGCTCAGAGTGGCTTAGGGATGAGTGAGTGAGTGAGTGAGTACGTAGACCCATGCTCCCCACTGGAGGCACAGGTGCCTACCCTGCCCACCTGGAGGTACAGGTGTCCGCCCCACCCCCTGGAGGCACAGGTGCCCGGCCCCGCCCCCTGGAGGCACAGGTGTCTGCCCCGCCCACCTGGATGTACAGGTGCCCGGCCCCGCCCCCTGGAGGTACAGGTGCCCGCCCCGCCCACCTGGAGGTACAGGTGCCCACCCCACCCGCCCCGCCTCTGGATGTACAGGTGCCCAACCCCGCCCCCCTGGATGTACAGGGTGCCCCGCCCCGCCCACCTGGAAGGCACAGGTGCCCGCCCCGCCCACCTGGATGTACAGGTGCCCACCCCACCCCCTGGATGTACAAGGTGCCCGCCCCGCCCACCTGGAGGTACAGGTGCCCACCCCACCCCCTGGATGTACAGGTGCCCGGCCCCGCCCCCTGGAGGCACAGGTGCCTGCCCTGCCCACCTGGATGTACAGGTGCCCGCCCTGCCCCCTGGAGGCACAGGTGCCCGCCCCGCCCACCTGGATGTACAGGTCCACCAGCTCATTCTGCTGGAGCAGGTAGTAGATCTTCCCCGCCTGCAGCCAGGCGTGCGCCTCCTTCTCCTTCTCCTGGAGGTCGATGAAGATGCCCAGGCTGCGCTTGGTGTAGTCCAGCGCCGATCTGTAGGCCCTGGAAGCGGAAGCAACGGTCAGAGCGACACCCGGGCGGCTGGTGAGTCCTCCCCCGGGCGCCAAGGAAGGAGGGTCCCCGGGAGGGCCCCCCGGGCGGCTGGCGCAGCCTCTGGTCCCGGCCGCCCCGGCGCCCGCGGAGCCTCACCGCTCGGTGCCCAGGGACAGGTAGAGCCGGCTGATGGTCTCCAGGAGCTGCCCCTCCAGCGCCTTGTCGGCCGCCCGGCGGGCCAGCGCGAGCTGGAACTCGTGGTAGACGACGCACTGGGCCCTGCGGGGCCTGACTGAGCTGTAGAAGTGGCACAGCCGCTGGACGGCACGCAGCTGGCCTGGGCGGGGAGACAGGGAGAGGCTGCGGCACTGGCTGCAGCGGGTTTGGGGGCTCGCAGGCCCCTGCTGTGTGCCCCTCTCCCGCCCTCTGAGGGGGTCACCGCAGATCGGACACTGAGCCCACCCAGGCCGAGTACCCTATTCAAGGTCACACCCTGGGGCCAGGCAGGGCAGCCACGGATGCTCGAGAGACGGCACCCCCATTTTTATAAGCCCCGGGCTGGGGTCCTGGCCAGGCCCTCCCGCGACACCGACCGCTCCTCCCGGCCGACAGCTCATCACACTGAGCTGGCGAGGCTGGGCACCTGCACCCCCATGTTGCAGGTGGCACTCTGAGTCCAAGGCTGAGTCCCGACAGGCCGTGGAGACGGGGTTCAGATCCAGCGGCGGGCATCCGGAGCCAAAGCTCCCTCAGGAAGTCGGCTCCCGGCCACCGCCTGCCTCACCCTCCGAGAGGGGGCCTGGGACAGCGAGAGCTTTCCCTGTAAACATGACCCGAAGCCCGGCCGGCGGGGCCCAGTGGCTGAGCATCAACCCATGACCAGGAGGACATGGTTCAACTCCCGGTCAGGGCGCATGCCCTGCTTGTGGGCTCCATCCCCAGCAGGGGGCAGCCAATCCGCGTTTCTCTGTCATCATTGATGTTTCTCTCTTTCTCTCTCTCTCCCTTCCTCTCTCTGAAATCAAGAAAAACATATTTTGAAAAAAATGACCTGAAGAACCTATATGCACAGCCCTTGGACACACAGACAATAGCGTGGTGATGGCCAGATTGGGGGGGGGGGTGAAGGAGAGGGTGGCTGGGTGGAGGCGGGCAAAGGGGGAGGGAAATGGGGGACATCTGTCAACAATAAAAATAAAGTAAAAAATAATAAACAGCCCTGGACGGTTGGGCTCAGTGGATAGAGTGTCGGCCTGCGGACTGAAGGGTCCCGGGTTTGATTCCGGTCAGAGCACATGCCCAGGTTGCGGGCTTGATCCCCAGTAGGGGGCGTGCAGGAGGCAGCCGATCCATGATTCTCTCTCATCATTGATGTTTCTAACTCTCTCCCTCTCCTTTCCTCTCTGAAATCAATGAAAATATATTTAGAATAAATAAATAAATAAACAGAAGGAAGTTTGGGAAATTCACAGATACGTGGAAGTGAACAAACTCCTCAGCACCCAGGGGCCCAGGAAGCACGGGGCCGGAGACGGGGAGACGTGCAGAGATGAGCAGAGACAGAGCGCAAGGCGCCCCCACAGGACGCGGCGAGAGCAGCCCCCGGGGGCTTACGCCCGTAAATGTCTTTAGAGAGAAGAACATCTCCAGTAAAAGCCTCTCAGCTTCCACTCCGAGAAGCTAGAAGAGGAGGAGTGAACTAGAGGCAGAGCGAGCAAAGGAAGGAAAGTGAAGATCCGGGAGCCGGTAAAAAAGACAGACACCAGCAAAGCAGCAGGAAAGTCAGTGAAGCCAAAGGCCGTTCCTTGACAAGATAACCGCACGGACACAGCCTTCGCAGACTGACCAGGAGAAAGGAGTGAAGGTGGAGATGGACAAAGGCCTGAAGGACACAGACAGCTGTAACAGCCTAAAAAAGGGCCCAGAGCAAGCACTGGGTGGCCCTGGGTACCTCCCAGTCCTGGGTCTCCTCGCTATTCAGTTTGGGGGTAACAACATGATCCCCAGGTCCCCCAACTCTGAATCCCCGAGTGCCCTGGGGGCCCACAGGAGGTTTCTGGGAGGCCCATGGCAAGCACCGCCCGACCTGTCTGAGGCCACAAGTCCCCAGACCCTCCCCCCTTGGTTCTTCCCTGAGGTTCAGAGGGCCCCCTGTCGGCCTCGGTGAGGGTGCTACGGCCCGCGGGGGCTCCCCAGTGCCCTCGGGGAAAATGCCGCACTGCAGCGTGGGTTCCCCTGCCCTGCCTGGCCCCCGATTGAGGTTCTCACCACCCATCACCCATCCCACCCAGACCTTGCACCTCAGTGCACGGCCCAGCTCACCTACCCAGGGCCTTCGTATAAGCCGCGCCTGCTGCCAGCTCTCCCCGCCGCCCACCTAATGCCCGGCTAAACCCTCCTGACCCTCGGGTCCCAGACCACACAGACTCCCCTGGCCCCGCGTCGGGGCCAGGAGCTGCCCCCACCACCCCGAGGACCACTTTGTGAGCTGGTCACTGCTTCCCACAAGACCCACTCAGGTCACGTTGGCAGGTGGAGCCGGCACAGAGCCCGGTGTACCCGCACAGCGAGGGGCTGTTCATACAGCCAGCGGCTCCTCAGCCCTGGGAACCGCCTGCCACCCGGGAGGCGTCCGGCGGGCAGGGCTGGCGGAGGCCTAGAGGAAGCCACCGGCTAAATCACCCACGTTCAAGGCCCCGGCTCCTCTGTGCCCAGCCCCTCCTGCCCGGCCTGGGCTATGCCCACGACGGTGGGGAGGCTCGGGCTGTGGGCCTGCCAGGGCTCCACACCCCCAGGCAGACAGAGACGAGCCGGGGGCCCTGCCTGTCGGCCCAGTGTGGGAGCGGCCTCGGCGCCGGCAAACAGCTCGTGGTTTCCATTACTCAGCGTTGTCGGCGGCGGAAAAACCACCGCCCGCCTGTGACTCTCACACCCCAGGTGCTCTGGCCGGAGATGGAAAGAGAACGCGCTCTTTCCAGGAAGTGAGAGCGGGGCTGGGCGGCACTTACTCTCCAGGTTGCCCGTCTCCGCGGCGACCAGGAAGGCCCACTCGTAGTAGCACTTGCCCCGCTGGGCGAGGGCCCGGCGCGTGTACAGGTGGCCCAGCTGCAGGAGCACATGGGTGAAGTCCCGGCCGCACTCCCCGCTGGGCAGCCCTGAGAAGAGCCTCACGGCCTCCAGGAGGTAGTGCTGGGCCAGCCCGCGGGCCCCCGCCTGCAGGCACAGCGCCCCGAAGTTGGCCAGGGCCACCGCCTGGTTCCGCCGCTGGCCCAGGCGCCGGGCGATGCCCAGGGCGCGGAAGTAGCCCTCGGCCGCCAGCCGCGTCCTGCCCGTCCTCTTCAGGGCGAGGGCCATCATGTTGGCGACCACGCCCTCCTGGTCCACGCCGGCCACGCCCGCGTCCATTACCGCCTGCAGGATGCCCAGAGCCGCCGGGCTCTGCCCGTGCAGATTATGCAGTCAGGCCAGGGCCACCAGGTCGTCCACTTC